CTGTTCGCTACTGTGTGCTATACTGTGCGCTACTGAAAAATAAGTGGTCCGAAAACCACTGGTTTGGGGACTGAGTAGAGAGAGTACATTGGCTGATTGCATTGACATAACAGGAATGTTAAGTGAATGTGCTCGTTAGTGGACCACATTTGGCGCTACGTACAGGCAGGCAGTATAAAGAAATTGTTCTATGATTTTCAGTGTACAGATATCCGGAATAACTCAACTTAGACCGGATGAAACAGAAACCCTTAGGGTGCAAGCATTTGAACTAGTAGATGTTCAGGGAGCAAGCTTTACTCGGTGGGCCATTATTAATAGGCGAAGAACAGTTAATTTTACTTACCTGATGGACGCAAACAAGACATCCGTCACAAAACACTAGTTCGTTTCCATCTTCGCCCTCGTACTAAAGAAAGATATCAGAAAGTCACAAAACTTACGGAAAGGCAAACATCGCAACGCGTGTTCTCATCAAATTCTATGGATTTTTTCTCATTACTCAGGGTTTCGTCTTTGGACTTTATATAGGCAATTTCCTCTGCGATTTCGAATATATTTTCGATCATCCAGTCCTGAATTTTTTCTTCCCCAAGACATTCCCGTTCTTCGTTAACTGTTTGAAGCCACGCATGATCTAACTCATCTAGCTGATAAAAAGCAGAACTAATGACTGCTTTCTTCGACACATGATGAATGTTAGCGTCATAGAACTCATCACGTGTGCAACGAATAAGTTTGTTTGGACTAAATGATGAGTAAGTAACTTAAAACGTACAGTGGAAATGTGGCCATTTTGCGCTTAACAGTTGGTAAGTTGGCTTTCCTTATACAAAAAGCTAATGAGAGGAACAGTAGTAACATACGTTACAAAAACTGGGTGCAAAGTTGAGGGGTCACGGGTGGGTACTTGAACACCGTCCTTTAGCCAATCTGGTTTCCATGCATTTGTGATTTTGATGAGATTAGGAAAACTTCCGAAATCATTGTCGGCGACAAGCATAAGCGAAATAGGGTGTCTATCGAAAAGCTGCACACTTTAGCAAAAAGTGAAAAAGTTGCCTCAGCGGGACGAATTTGACAGATATTCGGCTCACATTCACATATCTCAGTAAGGCGCTTCAAAACAGCTTCAGACGACCCCATCGGATTTCCAAATCTTATTTTTCTTAGAACGGGGCACAACTAAAGGAATACTGAAGAGAAGTCTCAGCCAATAGCAAGGAGATAACAAATCTTTAACTTAACTGGCGTAAAAATCGTTACTTAAAACAACACCTATGTGTTTTCCATCTTTCAAACACAACACTTAAATATATTTTTAAAAAAATACTTAGGAATGTTTGCCTCGCCTTACATGAAAAGCATGAAATTATCAGAAGTTTTAGATTTGCATTAGTCTCCAATGCGTAAAGGGCGCACTCATTTCATTTCATCACAGCTGAAGAATGTATCCACTCCCTCAAAATTTACCTAAACCCGAGTTGACCAGTCCCTAACATATATTTTATCTTCACTTTGGCCAAAGCCCCACTCAATTATATGATTATGAGTGTGCAGATTTAGCCGTCTACATAGGCTTCCCATGATAACTTTGAACGACGTATACTGTAAAAGAAGAGAACGAATTTCACTTAATAATTTAATTTAATGAGGTTTATTTGTAAAGCGCATCTTCGGCGCCGTCAAAAACTTGTTCCACTACACTGGCTATCACTTATATGTGAGTCTACCCTGCAGTTACTTTCTTTCTGATTATCTTCACTTAATTTTTATTTTAACTTATGTACAGTGTCCCAAAAATGCATCCACATTTTACATAATTTTAAACTTGGTGAAGACTTTTAGCACTGTCTGCCGCCATCTATCGTTACCACTTAAGTAGTGTAAGTATGCTTCATCCCTGTAAACACATGGCCCCAGCACAGGTGGGGCCCCAGACTGGGCCAGGT